ATGAGGCAGGTGGTAGTTAGATCTCGAAGTCCGGGAACGAGAGAGATACGCCTGCTCTTCTCTTCTCCATTCGTCCGTCCGGTCGGTCCGCCCGTCCACCCGTCCGTCCGTCCGTCCATCCGTCCGTCCGCCCGCTCGCCAGCGATCGTGCGCCATTCATTCCGTGCGGGTATATATGCGCGCGTGTGTCGGGCGCGTGTGTATGCGTGCACGCGTGTGTAGTGGCGCGCCGCGGCGCCCGCGGGCCCCGTGTGCGCGTCGCGGCTGAGACAGGTACATAATTTTTGCCGGATGACCGAGGTAGAGGACCAATTAACGGATGCCCCTTAACGAGGGGGCTTCCGGCACGATAAAAGCGAAATCACGCGCTCGCGCGTCGCACTCGAGCGAGAAATGACCGTTTTATGCGCCATTCCGTCGCGGTTTCACCGCGCGGGAAAAAGGCGCCGCGACGATGAAAGTCGTGAAATTAGGTTTACAGCTAATATAAGAGGCTGAGAGCATTGAGAAAATTACACGAAGCGAGATACGCGGCGCGGATTAAATTTACAAATTTGTTACGAAAAACTTGGACAAATCGATCATAAAAGTCACGAGTTAATTTATAATATAAACGACCCGTCGTATAACCAAATTCCCAATATGTAGGACCGCAATAAAACTGAAATAAAAGATTCTCCAAGAATCTTTTATGAGCAAAGATTACATCTCTGTAAAATGATAATTTAATATAAATAATCGTATTATCTGTTGTAAAGTACCAATTAAAGTTTTTGCATTATATGTTATGTGAAATTATAACTCTCACATTATTATTTGTATAAATATTATATTTTTTTCTAATATTCTAACATCGTTATTTTTCTCCTTTAAAGAAATTGTATAACGAGATAGATAAGTCTTTCTTTTCATTAAGCATAAATATCTTCGTGCATATTTTATCAGTCTAAATTCGCTGGTCTCACGCAGAAAATTACACGTGTTATTACTAATATGGCCTGTCAGAGACCTTGTCTCAAATTATTGCAAATTATTGCAAAACTTTGATAAACGTGCGTGTTTACTAAAATTACTCATTTATATACCGTTTTAATGAATTGATGTTTCGAAATATTCCACTCACGATCGACAGTTCTGCAATTTTCTTATTCCATTCGATGCTCATTTAATTCATATCGTACAAGGAATCGAAATGAGATTAAAAAGGGAGTCCGAATAAGGGTCTCGTCGAAAAAGGAGGTAGATAATTATGTGACGTGCAAAGTTTAGGACCGACGTTCATCGAGCATGCATTAAAAATTCCGGCCAGTCATCTCATTGATTCCTTGTATATCTCAATTTCAAAGAAAATTACGAGAACGATGAGTAGGCCACGTTGGAATCTCAACACGAAAAATCCTTGTGATGTGTTAAGAACACATCAAGTTAAGAACACATTTAGATTAGTTATTTCGGTCGCATTTAATTTTTATACTTGCAAAATGTCACAAAAAAAAACATGTACATATAAAATGTTATGGCAAAAAACGAAATGACGATAAAAACGAATGCGTACTACATTCAAATTTCTTTTAATGATGCAAT